TTCCTCTATACGTTTGTTTATTTTATCTGTGCTGCGTCGCAGCTTTAAACTTCACACCATTTTCGAATCTTCATTTGTTCAGAATTCTTCAAATATTTTGTCTCGCTACTCAGAACAGATGAACACAGACTTCTAAGAAAAGTTGCAGCTTATTTTTTGGGATCAGTGAATCTTATGCTAATAGCAGTGGAGATCCATTCCTACTTCGAATTCTGAAGGTTCCGAGTGCAAATCTTGCCTGCAGATCAGGTATCTTGGCTGAGATTTGTCGTGATTTTGTCAGTCTCTCCAGGCAAATTTAGAAAAGGTATCCCTCATAAATTGGGTGACACTTCAAGTTCTGACGACGGCGAGTATGAAGATGACTGACTGTCGTCTGGGACGTTGCGTTATTCTGTCCGGTAGACGTTTGCGCGGCTTCAGAAGTGAAGATGATCGCCTTGATGATGGGGGCAGTAAACACCTCTAAAACTTAGTCAAACGTCTGCAATACTACATGGCGCAACATCCCAGAAGACAATTCTTGATACCTTAAATTCGACCACGATAACTTTTATTACATAATTTCAAGTTCATTATTCGCTGCTCATCTTATCATTCGAAGTATATAATGTCAGGTGGATGTCGTTAAATAAATCATAAATAACTTACTTGACACTGGAGGTCGTCGCAGTTATTCCTTTGTTGGGCTTTCAGAAATACAATCAGCTTCAAATTAATTTTTTCATTATTGTGATGGAGGCTGTAGCCTGTATTCTACGTCACAGCGCAATTATTGCCATGAAACATTTCAATATATTCGTGATCGAAAATTCGGTTACAATATTTTTTCAGCTCTTTCGTTTATGTGGAAACCCCTGCACCTTGCTGAGAGTAAAGCACAAAGAAACATTCTTGTGATCAGACAGAATATTTAGGTCGAGGTTTCATATCCCCTGTGTGATCTAAGAGAATGCTTAAGACAGTTCCGTGTGTAGTTCTCATATTTTACACATGCTGCATTTCGAACAAAATTTCGACAGACATTGAATTCCCTTCCTTTACATTCAGTGACGTAAGTGTATCACGTGATCTGAATATGGAATAAGACTTAGAATTTTTTTTAACATTGGTACCTGCGGTCTCCCATGTGTACATGTGTGGTGTCCCTGTGGTATTATAAATAAAGATGGCGGGCAGAAAACGATGTTTCTATTTGCCTCAAGAGATCTTTGCAATAGGTAAAGTGTGTGTGTGTGTGTGTGTACAGAGAGAGAGAGCCAGGAAAAAAGGACCTTGGAAACCCAGGAAATTTGTTTGGTTATACACGTAGGCTGGAAGATGCGATACAGACCGACCTGGTTTTACTAATGTATCTATGTAAGGGATGTAGCTACAATCGTTATATGAAATACGTAGTAGCCACATATTTACTTTATACACAGAGAAATGGATGCTACCCAAAGAAATGCATTTAACTTTTAGCCTAGTTTCTCACGTGAGAAAGATACGGACAGGATATACTGAGTAATGGAATTTTGATTCAGCCCGTGCACTCAAAAACCCATAAAATATTTAAGGCTTGACCAATGGAAAAGTTGCTTATGGGTGGACTATGGAACATTAATATCACGGGGACATATATTAAGCCAGTGCTGGTGATTTGTTGGTAATCATTTGCTGTTAAGGGATTTTGTCATTTATGAAACAACGTTTATGAATGTGTGTTATTGCAACGTAATGTACTATCATATTTGAGATTGGTATACATTAAATCTTATTATATTATTTAATTAAGGAAAGGCAAGTTTTTGTGTTTATTAGGCTTACTTATGTGTAACATATCAGAATTTTATATCCGAAACTCTTCTCATGTTTAACAAGAAAGAACGACAAGAGGCCAAGGCCCAAAAGAACTTTGATATTGTCACGATTCACAGCGGACAACGTATGATAAGCACACCACATAGGGAGTAAAGGTTGAAACAAAATAAGAATTAATAAGCGGTATGCCATATCAAAACGGGAAGCATAAATCAAGGAACACAAGATCTAGCGGTGCCCCAACTTATAATAAATTAGGGTCACTGCACAATGCCATTCATATTCCAATCATGTTAATGACGTAAATTAAGACGTTTCAATGGTAAGGTCAGAGAATTTAAACAAGTTATACATTTCGTACAATTTCTGACGGAATATGGTCTCTTTCCTACTGGTTTTCAAAAGAAATATTCTATGAATTCATCTTCTCTCTTATGCATGCTTTGTGCCCTGCCCATTTCACCATTCTTTATTTGGTCCTTCTAGCAATATTTCGATATTTGCATTTGTTAGTATAATACTTTAACCGATTGTTTTACTTATTAACGATTCTTACTGTGGAATAAAAATTCTTTCGGTTTCTGGATAAGATGGAACGCAGAGCTATGCTTTAAAATGTGTGAGAACGCCTGATAAATTACTGATACTATCGTCCATACATGGACGGAGTGCTAGAAGAAATACCGTCAGCGCGATACGCTATGATTTTTACCTTCGTCTGGTTGCTAGAGGGAAATTCTCCTGTGTATCTTTCAAGAAACTCTGTTCCCTCATTTGTAACTGTCCCTTCTCTCCCTTCGCCTCATTATTACCCTATCCCTCCTCACGGCTGCCTCAGCTACAGCCCTTCAACACCGGCACATAACTTGAGGTTGTTTCGGTTGTGCCCTCAGCCTGCCCTTGTTGTCCGGACACTCAGCATAAGTGCCAATACGCTATTGATGAATGTTACAAATGTCGAAGTCTATTATTTAATCAGATTGCTAAATCAAAATGCCACCAATTAAAGATTTGTAATGCTTTATAATGTTTTGAGATCATGACGGGAGCAAAGTTTTTGCTTTCTCACGTAGGTAATGTTTAGAAGGTAGGACTACAGCTACAGAAGCAACAGGATCCGAGGTATAGGCGCCATGTACGTACTTGGTATCAATCGCACCGAAGAACTGGTTTTTGGAATGTCGTCTCATTGTGTGCTGGTGTGTGTGTGTGAACGCACGGACTCTTAGAGAACGTGAACTGGCCAGTAAATCTCCTTCTTCTTTAGATTTTTAACAGATCAGGTTTGTGGACGCGTTCTAAAACTGCGAATCCTCTAGGACTCCTTGCAGCGGATTCGGCCCGGTAAAATGTTTACTTAAATAATCGGTAGGATCGATATTATCCCAGGTCAAATGAATCGCTGCTGTTACCTCTAAATGTCAACACATTTTGTCGCCTATAAGGTTTCGGAACTCACGGCAATTTAAAAAAAAATTCCCTAAATAGCCACAATTTTAATAATTACGTTATTAAAATAAATACATTACTGATATAGACTATGTATCTTGACCATACATGTATATACATGTAAGTACATTTTTGTACATTGCAGTCAATGATTTTTGTGAAAATAAATGGGAAACGAAATGAATAAACCTAAGGAAGAAAGATACATACGGACTGTAAGAAATAAAACTTTTAAAGTACAGCAGAAATACGTTAAGAATTTAAGAAAATTCATATTGTTTCCTTCTGCTTCAGTTAACATTTATTTGAGCAGCAAAAATAAGACATTAATTCACAACTCATGTAGTAAAACAATTATTTTAACCAATGGCATGCATAATAAATATTATTTCTTATCTATGTCGGTGCACCGCTTAAGGTTAGATAATTCCTATTTAAGGTTCATAGTTTATCACTCAGCTTTTTGAATATAATCGTTGTCGTTGTTGTTGTTATTTTTGCTGTGGATCCCTATTATCTGTTTGCGCTGGGGCCCGCCATAGAAAAGTTTGGAACCCATTAACTCCTCACAGCAAGCGAACCCCGCCCTCTTAGCTTAAAACCCTTCTCTGGTCGTCCATTCACGTCCTTATTTGTTTTCCACCCCCATCCCCGCTAACGTCAGCATATTTTGTTTTTAGATTCTTTCATCCCACATGGTTCCATGCCTACTTTCGTTCTGTTCTTTGTCGCGATAATTGTCATTCCCATTTCCCAACATTGCGCATTGTTATTATTATTATTATTATTATTGACTGTGTCTGCTGCTTAATTGCTCCTGTCCTTGCCGCTGCAAGAAATTGAATATGAAAATGATTTTTGACTATTTGAATTCGAATTTTGTCATTATCGTGTTCACAAAATCACACCGTGGACTCTTATTTACAATTTCACACTATTCAGCGGTATAAATGATAGTTCTACGCAGTTTATGAAAGCTTCACGAAATAATAAATAGACCAATCTTATTCTGCTTTAATATTATTTTACCATCTTACAAATAAATTTTTCAGGTGGAGTCCCTCTGGTGTTTTTTTCTCTCAACGTTTTATATGCATTTATTTTCCCTCATGTGCCTAACCATGTAATATGCTGGAATCAAACGTCCCATGGGTAGATGCAGATGGGACCATAATATTAAAATAGCTTTTTAAAACTGCATACATTCCAGATAGCCGAAATATAGAGAGGTGTGGATTTAGTCAAAGAAGTTTCCATGGTTTGATTTTGTGAATAGGGTGATGATATTTCGAGTTCAACAAAGACTACAAATGCTTTTGCCGGTCTTATAGGCCTGCATCCTATTAACTTCTCAATAAGGACTGTACCATGGAGTACCAGGAAGTTTCATTTAGCCATTCTATTTACAAAAAACTTTCCTTATTCACAATATTGAAAATAAGGAACGAAGGGAGAAGGTCTTCTGCTGAGCAGATGTTTGAAGTTTCTTATGTTGTTATATGTATCGGAAACGGAGTATATTTGAATAAATTTACTTCTAAAACTAACTTTATTGCACATTATTTTCATCGCATTTGTATGCCAATTAATTTGACAGATTTATTTTTCTACTGGATATAGACAATACAGAAATTCTCATTCCAAGTAGAATTCTCTGTGTGATCGATATTTGTGACCTACGATGTTTTAAGTCGAGAGGTCGTGACGTAGACTGCCAGTTGTCACGTGTTATTCTTGAGACTGTTGTCTCGCAGGCAAACATTTGGTGTACACCGCTGTTAAATGCCGGTCTTTAAAAGATTGTAAAGTCGCATTTAATTACAGCAATGCGGAAATTTTGTTACGGTTTAGGTTAATAATCATTCTTTATTTTGATTTGTGCTAAAGAGGTCTGAATCTCTTCATTGGGAGCTATATCAACGTACGGTGAGTTAATTATTTCGTTTGTAAACACAGGAATGTACTAACTCTAACTTAAACTCTAATTAATCTGAATAATTTATAATTATTTTTAATGTAAATTACAAGTTTTTGTATCGAAGTGGTCGCATATTAGATGTTATTTAGGTCCTTAACTTTACAATACGTTGCCCCGTACGTTCGTTTATGTCAGAGCTAGTACCGACAAGTTAAACCTATGTACTGTGACTGTTCTATATTTGTTGTCGATAATATTTATCCCGTGCGTCCAGAGTTCAAAAACGACATACTAGATTAAAATTGGGAATCTTGTTTCAAAGTTAGAGTAAAGGTTCTTACAATTCGGGGCACACGTTTCTCGAAATAGGCGCCTTTGGTGAATCCGCGTTGGACGAACTTAATTTTGTAACAGAGTAATGAGTACACGGGATCATTGCAGTAGGAAGTGAAAGTAAATAAACAAGACAATCATAAATATATTTAATAATATTTATTTATGATCAAAGTTTGTAATATAATAAAGTTTTATCGGAAAGTTAAGCGTTAGAATCAAATATCAAAAAAAAACGTTAGACCCAGATACACGCCCACATAATCCTTCTTCTTCGTGACGCGGTTTATAAAAAGGGGCCACGCACTTTTACCTTGCCCTGTTTTACAGCAAAGTTACACGAAACCTGCGGTTGGCCTGAGCGACTCGTATTTTATATAGTGAAAGAGTTACGAACTAATAAATCTCTGTGTGCAGATTTTCGTGTCTTGCTTGGGAAAACCGCACATTCACATTGTCGCCAATTTGATTCCATTAGCTTAATATACTTTATTTACTTTATAAAACTTTATTTCCATGGCCTTCATAGGACTGGTCACCCGCCCAAGGAGTACTACCGAATATCTGAACGGATTCATAACTTCAGAAGTATTTTTTTAATTGGAACAGACCGTAACGCTAAATGCAGAAAAGAATTGTTATGTTTCAAAATTCGATGCCGTACCTGAAATTATTCAGATTCTTGAAACTTAACTAAAGTTGAAAGATACTGCTCTGTGGTACGGTCTTGGATGCTGATTCATTTAACTGGAAGTATGCAGGTACAAAGAATAATAAATCAACACTGTTCTATACAGCTTCCCTGTACAGAATATATCGGGATGTTGATAATGCTTTTGACTTGTTCCTAGGGAGTTCCGAGATCAAACCGTAGCTTGGTCAAATATTCTTCTGATCTTCATATATATTTCAAGGTGAAACGTGTGTCTCCTACTCACATCTCCAGAATCGTCATTTATAGTCACAGTAACAATTTCCGTGAGGCAATAAATAATCTCAGCGGTTGATACAGAGTATTAAGGCTAAATTCTTTTATATTTAAGGAAGTATTTTAAAGCAAATGTAACATAAGCGAGGTTTTAGGTTCTTGCGGCAGTGAGTACACAAGATAGATAACCTCAGTTGGAACTGAACTCTGGTCTTCAGTGAACACATTACGTTAATCTCACTCGGTAAGATAGTTCTCACATATTAGGCACCTCTGACGCTGCTGGAATCTTTCACTAACGACACTCCGTCCTATAACATCACGATAGGTTTGTAATGCAAATTAGCTATGTGAGCATCGATTTGGCGTGTTTTGACAATTAGTTGCGTAAGTTTAATATTCAGCACGACAGTGACTGGCAGCGTGCCCATTGTATTCTTACCTGTAGTTGCTACTTCATGAATGACAATGTCCACATCGCTCAAGCGTCTTGCAGAATGAATGAGATGACGGATTAGTTCGGCTTCAAGTTAACTTGTAAAGGACTACACTTTGGATGGCTTGTAAAGATAAATGCTTACCGATTTATTTAAAAGCATTTAAAACTCACATTTTTGCATCTATTATGCGTTCTTTGCACAAAGTGAACGCGTGTGTAGGAGGTAATGTCCGTATTCATTGTCATAGTATTTCAGCTCCATAACTGTTTCGAATGGATTATCGGTGAAACTTAGTTAGCTTGTCGAAACTAAACGTTCTCAGATGCATCTCGCTTTGGTTCGGATCGATCCATAGACAATCAATGACAAAACTATTCTAGCTCTGAAAATATTTCAGAAATAGCTGCTGCCTCGGAGGCAAGGTTTGTCTTAGGTACAGGGAAGTAAATACCCTGCAAAATGGCGAATAAATTGAATAACAATAATACTAAAATAAGTTAATAATCTCCGATAATATAATCCGAAGATTCGATCCGGACAACACAAAAGCAAGTCGAGACTGTTGAGTTTAACTCAAAATTTACAACTCGTCAGAAGTTTTACGTTTCCACGTCGGCGAAGAAGTCGACTGTGGTTTGTGACCTAGTGTAAACTTCTAATCGTCACACCTCATACTACCAGAGTAGACATCCAAGACTCAGATTCCGGAATATTCTTTTTCATTATATTTCCATTTCCGTTTCGGCCTTGTATGTAGACTACTGCGTTCGAAGAGACAGTCCCATTAAATTACTCTGCGCAGTATGTTTTTTCAGTCAAACTACATGACTAGTCCACCATAAGGTTCCTTCTTAAAAAGTCCTGGGAATCCTAATAAAAGGATATAATTCATGAAATCCCAAGCTGTGTATTTCCTTTAAACAGCGCTTACTTCGTGTTTCTTAGGAGCAAATACTTTCCCTGTTATCGAATATCTGCACTGTAATCTGTGATCTGCCCTCAGAATTATAGAACACACATCTTTGTACAACATTGGGTGCATTAACTTGTTATGTAAATTTTAGTTATTTGTAAACTAGACAGTATTATGTAAATTTGTAAAACTATGGAAAGAAGTCAAGTATGATAAGCAGTTTCCCCACATATATTTTGGTTATATACATGTAAATATTCATCTCAACTATTAGATTATACTAGGCTAAATACATTAAAATAAACGTGTGCGGAATAATGAAATATCCTGGAGGAGTACTGAATACAAATTAAAATTAGTGCAACTTGAAGCACGTGCACTGTCACACACTTAAATCAGTTTCAATTATTCAGCTATTGTTTACAATTCCGCGTGCATTTCTGTCATAAATGCGAGTTCATTCTTTCTTAAAACGGATGTCATACAGACGGCCTTGGAACGACACTGGCCCTTTTTACTGGAATAGAGGGGAAGAGGGGTAGTGGATTTGCATTTGAATTTGAAGGACGCGCGATGGTTGGACACTCCAACGAGGGCGAGAAGACGAACGGACTGCCAACATGACAGTCAGATGAGGGAGGCGAAGCCCGTGGTGTCATTAGGCGCATGTCAAATGAAACCGTGGCTCCACTCAGGGTATAAACACGTTGGCAAGTTTTTACACCCAATAACGACACGATTTTTTTAACCGAAATAAATTACTTCCGTGAATTATTGACCGATTGTAGGTCCAATGCATTTTGCCGACAGATATGTGAATAAGTTAGTAAAAAATAAAAAAAGAACAGTAAAAACCCGCAGAACAAAATGATTGCTTCAAGCCCAAAAATTTAAGGCTTAGGTGCAGTCACCTGTTCTTAAATTACCCGTTGTTTTGGCTGTTTATTTAAAATAAAACTTACAATACCGATCTATTCTTTATTTGTTAAAGCATTATGTACGTGGACTTAGCTATAATGCCGTGTGCCGCAATAATAATTTCAATGCAAAATCACATACGAATATGTTAATGAAGTATGTTACTAATTACACATTTAATTTATTAAAACATCGACATTCCCTTCTAAAATCAACCACGTTCTGAATTTTTATTTAAAGTAGGAAGGCCGATATCCTGAAGATTGTTTGGTTTCGTAGTGAGAAATTATTATTCCCTGGCACACAGAAATTATTAAAAATGTTTTTTCTTGTATCATCGCAGTATTAGGAAACTGACCGGAATCGTAAAGTTGCGTTGTTATAAATTTCGGTGATAATGAGATTAATATCAGCGTAAAGACTTCAGTTTTTATGAACCGTGTATTGGAAGTGAGTGTATTGTACTCGTATAAATGAAACTGAAGTGGCTTTTAAGTGGTAGCACGTGCAAGATTCAAGGAATTACATTGATGATGTCACTTCCCTCAAGATTATAACAAGTGAATTGTACGAGTTCTTTCAGACCAACCACATTAATCTTTACAATGGAGCCGTGTGGTTTTATTTGAGGTACTGACTCGATTATTAAATAAGTTATAAGACAAACTCGTTACTTTTCCCGTACTATTAAGTTCTCCGCCCATTAATAAGGCAACAAAACTGGAGCATTAAAAGTTTTAAAACTTTATTTTGAAAAAAAAAATGGGACGAAATCCTAAAGTGTACAGGAATATTTAGTTTTAATATTAACGTTTAGTTCGTTTTAGAAAAAGGCTTAATGTGAAACCAGATTCGAAAGACATAATAGTCCACCCCATTAAATAAAGTATGTAGCATCTAGTGGGGGGTGCTGTGAAATCTACCGCAACTTCAAAGCGATATGTCATTTTGGTTGGGGAGCTACATCAGGATGACCTCCAGAAGGTCTGAGAAATTGACAGTAACACATGCCAAACATATCAGTGCGAAACGCACACAGTCACATCAAGCGAAGGAAAGATATTGCTAGTGAGAGGGAAAGAAGAGTAGGAGTTTTTGGAAAGGGTGTTCTGACAAGGGCTTACCGATTTCAATGAATGGTAGGGTAATACAGCAATGCGTGCTTCGTCTGCTTTCTCAATGACGTCTCTGCCTTGTTTAGTCATTCTATTCCGCGTCAGTTACGCTACCCAACCTGCGTTTGATTTGGAAATAAATATGTGGTTATGAATGAGGAATTAAGAGTTATGTGACAGGAAGCGGTCATTGACTACAAGTTTTATAATCCCAATATTCTTCTGGAGAATTCATGAAAATCGCAGAAGATCCTAGTCAGAAAAGCCGGTCCGGACCAAGGTTTGAACCTCAGACTTCTCGAATATAAAGCGGGACTACTAACCGGTGTCATATTTGAAGTCTGAGACTTGAATTATGTAA